CACTGGTGGTAATGATGATGACACTGATGGTGATGATGACACTGGTGGTAATGATGATGACACTGATGGTGATGATGACACTGGTGGTGGTGATGATGACACTGGTGATGATGATGACACTGGTGGTGGTGATGACACTGGTGGTGATGATGATGACGACACTGGTGGTGATGATGACACTGGTGATGATGATGATGACACTGGTGGTGATGATGACACTGGTGGTGGTGATGACACTGGTGGTTATGATGACACTGGTGGTGATGACGACACTGGTGGTGATGATGACACTGGTGGTGATGATGATGACACTGGTGGTGATGATGATGACACTGGTGGTGATGATGATGACACTGGTGGTGATGATGATGACACTGCTGATGGTGGTGATGACACTGGTGATGGTGATGATAGGAGCACAGCCCATTTTGTCTTGTCTAATGTCTTGTCTTATCACCGGCTTATCTTGTCTTGTCTTTTGTTTTTGTCTTGTCTTGTCTTATCCATTGCTTTAATCAATCAGCATTCTCCGCATGGCCCAGGCACTTAGCTTGATTAGCTATTGCTATTTCTAATTGGCTGTGCTCTTATCACCTGCAATTTCAACTATTATTATTTATATCTGTAAACTATTGAGCACAATAAAGATTGATTGATGACATTGGTGGTGATGATGATGACACTGCTGGTGATGATGATGACACTGCTGGTGATGATGATGACACTGGTGGTGATGAGTTGACACTGGTGGTGATGATGATGACACTGCTGGTGACGGTGATTATAAAACTGGTGGTGATGATGATGATGATGACACTGCTGGTGATGGTGATGATGACACTGGTGATGGTGATGATGACACTGGTGATGGTGATGATGACACTGGTGATGGTGATGATGACACTGGTGATGGTGATGATGACACTGCTGGTGACGGTGATGATGACACTGCTGGTGACGATGATGATGACACTGCTGGTGACGGTGATGATAAAACTGGTGGTGATGATGATGGTGACACTGGTGGTGATGATGATGATTGATGATGATGATTCTAAGCAATAATAGTAAATCCTTTATAGGCAAACCATATCTACATTTCTTTCCAGGATTGTTGGCGGAATTAGAATATCATTGTACAATGCCATCACATTAGAAGAAACGAAGGCACTCGCTGACTTCATGATGGAATTCCAAGACAAATACAACAAACCAATTAGACACTGAAACGACGGATACGAACAGCTATTGAATCCCACAAAAAAAAAAAAAAAAGCTACGAAGAGAGAGCGCGATCCATTTGCTTAATTACAATGTGCAAAAATCAAATAACGAAAAGATACTTGCTGACCTCATAACGGAATCTTAAGACATATACAGAAATTAGGCTCTGAATACGACGGATACGAACGACAAGTCAGACTCACAAATGAAATTAATGTTCGAAGAGAGTATGCGAATTCATTTGTTAACTTACAACGTGCAGAACTCAGATAGCAGAAAAAATACTTGCTGATTTCATGACCGAATTTAAAGACAGAAATTAGACACTGTATAGAATGTACGAACATTCAAACCCAAAAGAAATATTGAAAGAAAAAGATGTGGAAATGAAACTAAAATGAATCTAAACTCGAGAAGGAAAAAGTCGAACTACAACAAAACCAACGTGAAATAGAGCAGATTCTTAAGGCACGACTACACGGAGCAATTTTCTCTGCAGCTCATCTCGCAACAGCATTGCGACACAAGTTGCATAAGTGTCTACACGGTGCAACTGAAACTCAATCGTTGCCAAAAGTAGAAAAGAATTCTACTTTTAGAAACGATTGCTGCAACTTTTTCAAATTGCATTGTAGGTTACACGCTGCCATGCCCCATGCAACGTGTATCGCAACGCCGTTGTGAGACAAGTTGCAGAGAAAATTGCTCCGTGTAATCGCCCTTTTAACTAAACGTGAAGCAAAATTCAAAAGAGTAGAATTAAAAAGAGTCAAACTTGTCTCGTCAAATCGACGTGAAGAAAGGCTCGAAGCAAAGTTTGAAAGATTTTTTATAAAAAAGTTTGATTTTAAAATTCAAAAAAACTCGGAATCAAATCTAGTTTGGGTTTAAAAARTCGTGGTTCACAGCTTTTTCATGGATTTTTCCTGTAGTAGGCAGCCACCTTAAGAAAGCTTAATGGGTGTGGTCAAGACCGTAAGGTAAACAGCCAATCAGATCGAGTTTTATAAAGTGAGTGTACAACCAATCGGAAGTACTTTTATAGTTGATGAATTATTTTAGAATGTCTTTAATGTCTTAAACACCGAAGATACACCGAATTTGAATAACTATTGTTCTGGACTGACTTACCTCTCATACATGTGGAAATGCTTTTATATTTCCACGTGAGCACGAGGCTAGTCAGTCGCCATATTTCGACTCGGTGTGTACAGCTATTTCTAAAAGGTTGAATAGTGCATTCCAAAGACTGATGTGCATCGTGGGTCATAGTGACATTGTCTAAAGTAGGACTAATAATAATTATTTATTCTATTCTTAGTGTATTCCATCTGAAACAATATACTACCTACATGTATAGAGCTAATTGCTGTATATTTACTTCTTATTTCAAATTAACGAGACCCACAATGCCCTTTGGTCTTGGAATGCACTATTCAGTATGCAGTATTCAGTATTCAACCTTTTTTAAAATAGCTGTGCATCGTGAAAGAAAAACTGCATTATTTTATTGAAGGAAATCCTATTACTATATACTATTTATTTTCAAATAAACTAGTTTTAATTCCAAAAAATTCTCTTTTTGTCCAACACATATGAGCAGGAAAAGACCAGGATTTTTTTTGAATCGATGATTTGACTCTGTTCCTGGAATCTTCCTAGGAAATTCCAGACATTTTTTCCAGACACCTTAACTGAAAACGATGGAAACTCCTTAAAGTAACTCTTTAAACACCTTCACAATTTGTCTCTCTCATTAAGCAAAAAGTTGACCACTGTTTTCCTAAACGAGTCGTTTTTTTAAAATACTTTTTCCCTGTCGGCCAAGAACTCCAACCTATGCGTATGCCACTGTTCTTTTAAACATAGATAATTACTTTAAGTGTATTTCCGATATAGAGCTGAATATTTTAAACTATTCGCTATAAATAGAGCACATTTAGTAGATTGAGAATGCTATATTTAACTCTTGATAAGAACAACGTCGACACCTGCGCTACGCACCCACAAAAGCAAGCAAAGCATCGGAAAAAAACTTTTATTTCCAAAAGCACTAAGAAACCTAATCATATGTAGAAAAGTAAGAAAGAGAAGACCTTAAAACCACACACCTAAATCACATTTACATACAAAAGATAAGAAGAGTTTAAAAAAATACCCGAGTTTTTAATTTTAGATTTGAGCCCACGAGTTCCGGAAATTCCTGGCCCTTGAACCACTTAACCGTTGACGAAGAAGAGGGGGTGGGGTAGGGACGAAAATGAAGTTTCCTATGGGGATGGAGTGCGTAATATTGTTGCGTTTAATTCACAGGTAATAAGTAGGTGAATTTTATGTCGACGATTTGAAACATTTTAAAATAAAATTTGATTGGAAAGTTCTATCTGTTCCTTATTTCCGTCTCTCAGTTCGTTTTTGTTTTTGTTTTTGTTTTTTTGTTTTTTGAGGTCATGTAGCAGGCGGAACAAGACTAAACACTTCGTAGGTCTCACATCGTAGCGCAAAAAATACCATATTTTTCTCTTCTTGGCGAGTTAATAACAAAAATCTTCTTTAGACATCTACTAAGAATATATTTCTTGCAAGAAAAGGGGATTTTTATCGTTATTTAGTGCGCTAACTTACCTTTTATCACCAAAAAAACTACGAATCCACCATCTTTTTTTACATTCTCGCATTGCAAAACTCCTGAAGGATGCCAGCCACAATGGCCGATTTGATCACGTGACCTCTTAGTGCAAGTCGCCTATTAAAGCCTGGTTCACACGAGCAACGCAAACGCAAATGAAAGCGCAAGGAAAATACGCGTGAACTACAGTGATACAAACGCACGAGTACCACTAACGAACTTGATTTGTATATGGAAATGACTTCAGTGATGGCATCTCTTTTCATCTTGGGGGTACAATGTAGTACACTACAAGCACTTAGGATGAGTAATTGCAATCTAAGATCACGTGATGTTCGTGGCATTCGGAGAAAACACAAACGCAAACGCAAGACGTATTAGTCAAGCCATCAAAACTCAACTCGATGGTTCACACGAGCAGTGCAAACGCAAGAAGGAAAATACGTATGAACTATAAACAAGAACTACTGCGCATGCGTATATTAATTTACTTGCATTTGCGTTGCACGTGTGAACATTGCTTGCGTTTGCGTTGCACGTGTGAACCAGGCTTAAGGTGACTGCCTTACTTTTGGAAATTGATTTAAGCTTTTTTTAAAACTTCGATTTTCCGAATTGAAATTTAATGCTGATTCCAAATCTGGAAAGAAAAATAGGGTGTCCCGAGCTCGTTTTCGAGATAATCAGCATTTAATGGAAGCCTACGCACGAGCTTTTGGAGTAAAAATTGCGGCACCGGAAGTGATTAGAGAAAAATTAAGATGAATAAGATAATAGTTATTTGCAGACTATATGATTGCATGAATGAAGGCTAGTCAATCATTCTACAATAATACATGGATATTTTCGACAAAAAGACAGAGAGATACATTGATTTGT